ACTCATTCACCTGTCACATGGGATCTGACCCCCACTCATTCACTCATTCATTCATCACATGGGACACAACCCCACTGATTCATTCATTCATCCGTCACATGGGATCTGACCCCACTCATTCACTCCCCCGTCACACGGGATCTGACCCCCCACTCACTGACTCATCACCCATCACACGGGATCTGACCCCCACTCACTCACTCATTCCCCCATCACATGGGACATGACCCCCACTCACTCACTCATCACCCGTCACACGGGACACGACCCCACTCACTCACTCATCACTCATCACACGGGACATGACCCCCACTCACTCACTCATTCCCCCGTCACACGGGATACGACCCCCACTCACTCATTCCCCCGTCACACGGTATCTGACCCCCACTCACTCACTCATTCCCCCGTCACACGGGATCTGACCCCACTCATTCACTCCCCCGTCACACGGGACACGACCCCACTCACTCACTCATCACTCATCACACGGGACATGACCCCCACTCACTCACTCATTCCCCCGTCACACGGGATACGACCCCCACTCACTCATTCCCCCGTCACACGGTATCTGACCCCCACTCACTCACTCATTCCCCCGTCACACGGGATCTGACCCCCACTCACTCACTCATCACCCGTCACACGGGATACGACCCCCACTCACTCACTCATCACCCGTCACACGGGACACGACCCCCACTCACTCATCACCCGTCATACGGGACACGACCCCACTCACTCACTCATCACCCGTCACACAGGGTCTGACCCCCACTCACTCGCTCATCACTCATCACACGGGACACGACCCCACTGATTCATTCATTCATCCCTCACATGTGAGCCTTCCTCTGCAGTTGTTCAAAAGGGGGATGAAAGACTAAACAGGAGTCTGTCTCCAGGAAGCTCAGATGCTGGTGGGGAGTTCATTTGTCCCCTCACCCCTCGATCCTCCCCTCCCTCCATCCCTCTGGTCAGAGTGCTCGCTCTGCGTGGCAGGAGACGCCGCTCGGCTGTGCGGAAGTCCCATCCAGACACAGCTGAGTCTCTGAGGTTCAAGGCCGCTCTCCTGCTCTTAGCCGTGTGGCTGCACCCTGTGATCCTGGTCCCCACTGGATAGGAGGGCTGCGCTGGCTGCAGTTCAGGGGGCTCAGATCACCTTCCCTGAGTTCCTAGGCCACTTCTACTAAAGGTGACACTGTCAAGAAACGTACTTCCCAGAGTCTAAGGCATTTCTGGCTGACACCTCAAGGGAGGGGCTTCATTTGCAGATTCTCAGCAGACCCATTTGCGCCAGGCTGCCCACTGTGCCTGCCCATGGGCGCCCACGGCTGTGGCGCTTCTCAGAAGCTGTCTGAATGAGCCCTGTCACAGCGGGGGAGGTGGTCACACTTAAAGAGTGCCCAGGGGTTGTGCTGGGAGCCTTGAGATTCTCTTGCCTCCCCCCGGGCAGCCCCTGGGCCTCTGAGCACCACAGGGCCTCCTGCAGCCCCGAGAGGGTGAAGTTCAGTTCAGTCGCTCAGTTGTGTCCGACTCTTTGTGACCCCATGGAAGGCACTCCAGGCCTCCCTGTCCATCACCAGCTCCCGGCGTTTACTCAAACTCATGTCCACTGAGTCGGTGATGCCATCCAACCATCTCATCCTGTCGTCCCCTTCTCCTTCCGCCTTCAATCTTTCCCAGCATCAGGGGCTTTTCAAATGATTCAGCTCTTTGTATCAGGTGGCCAAAGTATTGGAGCTTTAGCTTCAGCATCAGTCCTTCCAATGAACACCCAGAACTGATCTCCTTTAGGATGGAGTGGTTGGATCCCCTTGCAGTCCAAGGGACTCTCAAGAGTCTTCTCCAACACCACACTTCAAAAGCATCAATTCTTCGGCACTCAGCTTTCTTTATACTCCAACTCTCACATCCATACATGACTACTGGAAAAACCGTAGTTTTGACTATATGGACCTTTGTTGGCAAAGTGATGTCTCTGCTTTTTAATATGCTAAGAGGGTGCAGAGGCAGGACTAATGCTGGCTCCCCTGACATAGACCGGGGAGAACGGAACCCTGCCTGGCAGGACCCCTGCCTGGCCACAAGGTCACGCTGTTTGAACAAGAAATGAAACGGGAAGGATGTTTTGCAACACATGACATTTTCTTTGTCAGCAAAGTTTTTTGTTTTTTTTCTTAACTTTTTAATCATTTTTATTTTTTGGCCTTACAACATAGCATGTGGGGTCTTAGTTTCCTGACTAGGGTCAAACCAGTGGAAGCTCAGAGCCTTAACCACCAGGCCGCCGGGAAGTCCCGAGTTCCCAGTGTTCCCCATGTGGGTCCTTGCTTGTCTGAGCCTCACACTGTTTGTCCCGGAATTGAACCTTGGTGGTCCTGTCTCCAGGCCCCTGTTGCCCGACCCCTTAGGCCACTCGGCAGGGCCCCTCACCCAGGACCTCCTCCCCGCCTGGAGGGCTCATTTGGGGTCAGGAAGTCAGCCGAGCCTCCTGGACGTGGACAGAGGAGTGTGAGGGCTGCAGGACTGTGCCGATGAGTTTCCGCACGGCCAGGGGCCCTGCCGGAGCCTGGGGGTCTCTGCTGTGGGTGCAGCCTGGGCGCCTGCCCCTTTTCAAGCGGGGTCCAGAGCACGGCGCATGGCTGGCAGGGCTGACTAGGCCCCACGGCCTCGCTGGGGCAGCGGCTGGGCTGGCCTGCTGTGGCCCGTTTCCCCAGGATGCCTGGGTGCAGAGGGTCCGCAGGATGATGGGGCCAAACTGACTGTGAAGTGCTGATTCTCTGCCCTCGAGGTGGCCCCACGCCTCATCTGTGTTTCTGTGTGTGCGAGGGCCCTGGAATCTGCGTTCCTGACCTGTTCTCAGTGAAGCGGACCCTGTGGCTCCAGAGTCCCCATGTCTGGGCCACCCGTCCCCCTTAAAAGTGGCACCGGGGTCTGGCTGAGTGTCGCTCAGAGGGAGCGGCGCTGCGGGGGGTGGGGGTGCAGTTCCCGAGTGACCCGATGCCTACTCGGGTGTGGGGTCCCGGGGGCCCCCCACCTCCCAGTTGCCGCCTGGGTACACCGTGGCTCCCTCTGAGCCCACTGGGTCCGAGTTTCCTGCCATGTCATCAAGGGGGCACGAGTCAGTGCCCCCCACGCCCTGCCCAGCAAGCTCAGGGGCCCCCGCGTGACTGCCGGGGTCCCACATGGGCTGGGGCCGCTCTCCGGCCTTTCTGGGGTGGGCTGGGTCCTCGCACCCCAGCACTTGCCAGGGAAGGAACCCAGCGGTGTCCTTCAGCAAAATTTGAGGCAGGCGGACGGGGCAGCGCTGAGCCAAGTGCTGGCCACTGGGGGCATCTGGGGTGAGGCCTAGTCCTGACCCACACCGCCCAGGCGCTGTCCTCCGCTCCACACCGGCTCTCGTAGCCGGCAGGACGGCTCAGTGAGGCAGGACAGTGACCGCCACCATCTGACCAGGAGGCAGGGCGTGGCGTGTCTGCTGACAGCCCGAGCTCATGTGCTGTGAAGTGGTCGCAGGGAATGGGGTGTCTGCAGTACCCAGGCTGGGGGCTCAGAGTGGGCCCCCACCCTCGTGGACTCAGTGGGCCCCCACCCCCCGGGACTCAGAGCGGGCCCCCACCCTCCTGTGCTCAGAGAGGGCCCCCGGGGTGTGTCTGGGCCCCAGGCGGCAGTCGGCAGCCCGTGGGCAGCGTGGTGCGGCGCCCGCCTGCTCCGTGTCAGCTTGTGCCCGGCCGGGTGGCGGTGCTCGTTCTGACATGTGGTCTCTTCTGTGTGTGTACGTGTGTCCTGGCTGCCTCCGCCTTTAGCATTTCGTTTGGAAGTGACACTAGGTACAGCTCACTTTTCTCTTCCGCGCCCGCTGGCCCGCCCTCTCCGGTTTCCAGTCTCCTCTCCCCTCTGATGTCCGCCCCGCTCCCCCCGCCCGCCCTCCGGTCCCCCGCTGTCCTCCCCTCCTCCCCGTGGGTCTGCCTCCGTGACGTGCCCGGCGCTGGCCCTGCCCTGTCTCGCTGCTTCTCCCGTGGCCCGGACGCCGCGGAGACGGGGCGGCGCCTTCGCCGCCCTGCCGTCCACTCCCCTGGGCGGGGCTGGCCGTGCGGGCACGTGTGCGGCGCCCCGCTTGTGCTGACGTGTTCTCTGCCGCGTCTTAGTGGGGATGCTGGGTGGAAACCGGAGAAGCTGGGGCTGCCAGGGCTCGCAGAGCAGCCACACTAGGGTTTGAGGCAAATTCCCAGCTCATGAGTGACGGTCCTCGAGTCATGCCGGGACTGAGGCAGGGGTTAGAACGATTGAGAGCAGAAACTGTTGAGTAACAGGAAAGCCGGCCAGGAGTGGTGGCCACCACTCTTCTGGCCCCTGAGCCTGCCCTGAGCCACCCGCAGCGTGGGTTCCTGGCCACAGCGCTCATGCCCCGGTCGTGGCTTCCTGACTTAGAGACTGGGGACAGAAAGAAGCACCCGCGCCTGCTCTGTGCTCTGTGGGGCCCAGCCGTGGCCGCAGGGGCTGTGCTATCTTTGGGGGGCTGCCCCGGTTTCCACCCCCAGCATCATTTCCCAGGGCCGTCAGTTGGGGAGGAGATGCCGCGGAGAGCTCTACAGACCCGCAGGCTCCCTTCGGGTCCAGGGAGAGACCGTGTGCCTCCTTACTCAGGCTCAGGGGGTCCCTAGCCTCTCCTCTCCCACCGGTGGTCACAGCCCCACTCCCCTCCACCCTCCCATCCCCACCTCGGCTCCAGAGTCCCGGGCTGAAACCTCCCATCCCCCAGGGTGGAGCTGAGGGCGCTCCAGGGCTCCTCCTGGTGGGGCGTCCGGAGCCCCCAACCCAGCCCAGTCCTGAGTAAGGAGGGGTCTGTCCTCCCTGGACTCCGGCCCCAGCGGCTCGCCCGGCAGGTTGCCCACACGTCCGTCTGTCTTTGTGTGTCTGTCTGCATGTCCCCATCCCCGCCGAGAGCACACCACGCTCCGTCAATTTTCTACTTCGTCTCTGCTTCCTTCTAGAACCTTTTACCAGTTTGAGGCTGCGTGGGACAGCTCCATGCACAATTCCCTCCTGCTGAACCGGGTCACCCCTTACCGAGAGAAGATCTACATGACCCTCTCTGCTTATATCGAGGCAAGAAACCTGTGCCCAGAGCCTCCCCCCAAATCACTCATCTCCCCAGCCTGAGTTGCTGGCCAAAGGACAAAAAGGATGCTTGTTAGCCCCACACAACCACGGTCAACCCTGTTGTCTTCTCAGAGGGCTTCTTGAGTCCCTGAGTTAAATCTGTGTTCTTTTAATGGGAGTGCTCAGAATTAGTCAATTCTTCTATCTTTAGTGTGTGGGTTTGTCCTTGGGGTTGTAGCACCAGCAGACATTGCATCTAAGTTCCAGACAGCACAAGAACAGAAGCCTCCTTTTCCCCATCCCAAGGGTTTCTGGCTGTGGAGGAGGCTGGGGTGTGGGCATTTCTTGCTGGTGCAACAGCCAGCGGGGTGGTAGAGACTGAAATACCCACCCTCCCTCGCTCCCTACCCCCAGAGTCTAATTATTGTGTCTGTAACATGGGGACCAGTGTGACCGCCCCACGGGATGAGGTTTGCTCAGGCTGAGCAAACACTGGTAGGATATCGCCCAAGCAAGACCCCAGGATACATCCGCTTTGTCAGTTGTCAGCCTGGAGCTTCAGGAAAACCAAAGAACCTGATGTTTAAGTCAGCAGCTCGCTCGTTGGGCAGCGATCTCCTGTGGCCTTTAGGGTTGACCCGTGGCGCACAGACAGGGTCTGGTCAGATCCTCACAAACATTTTGGGGAGTGTGCCGTCCCAGTTTCATGGTGAGAAGGCTGAGGCCCATGTCTGGGATGTTGGGGTGTCCTACAGGGACCCCTGGCCCCTGGCCCCCCGCAGCTACAGCAGAAGTTGGTTCAAGGTGGGGGCAGAGACTCTCCTGGGCTGGGGCTGCCCTGGGGATGGGGGGAGGGAGGGTCTGCGGCTGCGGGTGGTGCGGCTCTTGGGCCTCACCGCAGAGGACGGGGCTGGGGGGCTGGGTTGGCCCGGGCGTGCCTGGGCTGAGCCCACCCCCCCACCCCCACAGATGGAGAATTGCACGCAGCCGGCCGTGGTCACCAAGGACTTCTGCATGGTCTTCTACTCCCGCGACGCCAAGCTGCCCGCCTCACGCTCCATCCGCAACCTATTCGGCAGTGGGAGCCTGCGGGCCTCGGAGAGGTGAGCCCGCCAGGAGTGCTCTCCGGCCTGTCTCACTTGCACCACCTGAGGAGGCCTCTGCGCACTTTGTGGGGATGCGGATGTTGTGTTGGGGGGGCGGGAGAGAGCTGGGGTCTGCCTGCCAGGTGCAGCAGGAAGGCCTGTGTGTCCACTGTGGGACCCCTATGGGTGGCCCCAGGTGACCTTCCTCCGCAGCAGCCGCGGGGCCCTGTTGCTGGGCCCCAGGGGAGGTGGGGCAGAGGGACCCTGGACGGCTCGTCCCCAGGGACGTGTCCAAAGCCAGGCCTCCCCGCACCCAGGGGGTTGGACCCCAGGCCCAGTGTTCTGCATTCTTGGGGAGGGGGAGGAAGGCAGTGGAGGGACCCCGCCCCAGGAGCGGGGACACCCAGGGTGCCAGGTCCCTGCTGGTCACCTTCAGTGATGCTTGCACACCCCGTGTTGTGGGTGGCCGCCCCGGGGGACACAGCCGGGAGGAAAGAGCCTGGGGGTCCTGGATGGCCACGACCCTATGACCCTGTCATCCAGCAGGTCACCTTGGGACCACGGGCCCCCCTCCATGAACGGGTTAGTGGGGTGCCCTAGGCAGAGTCAGAGGCCCCAAGAAAAAGGGGGCCAGCGGGGGTCTGGGTCGGGGACCCTGACCCCCCCAGCCCCCACTGCCTGGCGTGTGGGCCATGTGACTCGTGCCCAGAGTGCACGTGCCGGTGAACGGGCGCCCGGCCGTTGCCACGCGGGTGACAGTGGCCCCCCCACAGCAACCGCGTGACGGGCGTGTACGAGCTGAGCCTGTGCCACGTGGCTGACGCGGGCAGCCCAGGTAGGCGTCTGCCCTGCGCCCTCTGCCCCCGGGGTGGCGGGGCACACTCGGGTGACATCAGCTGCGCTGCCGTGCGGGGAGCCCCTCACCCGGAGACCCTGGGGGGCTGGAGGACGGTGGGGGCGGGCGCGGCCCCCACGGGGTACGCCATGTCCGCGGCCCATGCAGGCATGCAGCGGCGGCGCCGGCGGGTGTTGGACACGTCCGTGGCCTACGTCCGCGGCGAGGAGAACCTGGCGGGCTGGAGGCCGCGCAGTGACAGCCTCATCCTGGACCACCAGTGGGAGCTGGAGAAGCTGAGTCTCCTGCAGGAGGTGAGGGCCGGGCCCCCCCGGCGCCCCCTGGGCCCCCGTCCCTGCCTGTGCTCGCACGCCCGCCTGTCATGGGGCTCAGGGCCTCACGATGGCCCCCGGCTTCCGGCGGGACGTTCATCCTTGGTCCAGCCTCAGATTGGGGGGCGTGTAGTGGAGACGAGAAGGACACTGGGAGGAGAACTGGGTGGCAGTGAGGCCCTTCGGTAGCTCCGGTCAGGACAGCCCGTGTCCAGTGGCGGGCACTGACCACCGGCCGGGGCAGCGAGTGGAAAGAGGGTGTCGGGGTCCGCACCCGTCCACGCTCTGGGTCCTTCCCGAAGCTGCGCCCCTGGAGCTTGCCCGTCTGCTCACGCTGGGGCGTGGGCAGGTGTGCAGGCTCCAGGTCACCCACCACGGCCGGCTGAGCCTGCCGAGGGCCAGGGGCTCAGCGCGGCCGCACCCTCCCCACCCGGCGGGCGCGGTGAGGCTGTGCTCGTGCTCCTCACAGGTAGAGAAGACAAGACACTATCTGCTGCTGCGGGAGAAGCTGGAGACGGCCCAGCGGCCCGGCCCCGAGGCGCCGTCCCCCGCCTCCAGTGAGGACTCCGAGGCCCACGGCTCGTCCAGCGCCTCCTCCCCGCTCACAGCCGAGGCCCGGCCGGCATCCCTGGAGGCGCCCAGCGAGAGGCAGCGGGAGCTGGCTGTCAAGGTGGGCGGCCACCCTCCCGGCCCTCCCCGGTGCCAGCAACCGCTGGGACCTGGGAGGACGAGGGTCCTGGAGTCACCCTGACCCCGTCCCCACCCCGCCCCACCCACAATGGGACTCGGGCACTGTTGGCAGCCTCCTCCCCCAAGCAGTGACCTGCCCCCCCCCTTGAATACCTGCAGTGACGGGGAGCTCACCACCTCCAGCAGAGCCGGCCCTTTCTGCCACTGGTTGGGCCACAGGGAAGGCCTCCTGCACTTCGTATGCCTCCACCCCCTCCTTTGCCCAGGCCCCAGCCTGCCACAGGATTCCTCAGATGGCTCCATCCCCTGGGAGTCCTCCTGCGGTGCCCAGCCCCTCGGCCAGCCACCCGCGTCCACGTCCGAGCCGGGTCCAGGGGCCCCTGACCGGACGTTTGCTCTCCCCACAGTGCTTACGGCTGCTCACCCACTCCTTCAACAGAGAGTACACCCACAGCCACGTCTGCGTCAGCGCCAGCGAGAGCAAGGTGGGCACGGGGCGGGGGCGCCCTCTCCCAGCCCAGGGGGATGCCTCCGAGCTCAGGGAGGCCAGGGCCCATGCAGGGCAGAAGCGAGGCGCCCTCCTCTGCCCACCGTCCCCAGTAGCAGCCCCGTCCCACCTGGCCTCACTCCGCTGCACCTGTCCTGGGCGAGTCCAGCTCCTCCTTGGTTTCTGTCCTCACCCGGGGCCCACTGGGGCCGGCGGCCTCGGGCCTGTCCCCCAGCTCTGTGCTGCCCTCCACACAGCCTCTGGAGGGGATCCTGCCCGCGCCCTCGGCCCTGTGGGCCACCTGCCCTCTGCCCTCTGGCTTGTCTCTCCCTCTGCCCAGAGCTCCTCTTGCTGTGGCCATGGGGCCACACGTGCTGATGTCGGGGCTCAGAGGCTACGCCTTCCTTGGTCCTCTCCCAGGGGTCCTCCGTTCCCCCGAGGCAGAGCCCGAAGCCCTGGGTGGGGCGGGCAGGGAGGGTCTGGCCTGCAGTTGGGGTGGGGGGTGTCCCCTCACGGGAGCCCCGCACTGCCCCAGAGAATGCCGTCTCCTCCGCAGCTCTCTGAGATGTCAGTCACGCTGCTGCGGGACCCGTCCATGTCCCCGCTGGGGGCCGCCACACTCACCCCCTCCTCCACCTGCCCCTCCCTGGTCGAGGGCCGGTACGGGGCCTCTGACCTAAGGTACCTGCGCGCCGGGCCGGGCCGGCACAGCCTGCGCCTGCAGGAGTGGATGGCAGGGTGTGGGGGGTGGCAGGTGGCGCCTGGGGGCGGCATGCAGCGGGGCAGGGCTCATGCTGTTTGTCCTGGGCCACTTTCTGCTAAAGCGTAAATTTAAACTGTGCTCTTCTATAAGGCTGGGAACAGGTCAAAACACTGAATGAAAGGCCTTTCCAGTGGCAAATGGAATAGTGGAAAAGCGGTGACAAAGCAGAGACTTGGGGCCCTTTGGGTCCACTGACTTCTGCTGATGTGGGGGCCCCTGCTGACACCACCGTGTCTGACCCCCGGATCTTGTAGCTCCTTGGGGTCTCTTTCCTCTGACTGAGAAAGGCGTGAAGCCCTCTGGGCCCCATCCTGAGACAGGCCGCCTTGGCCAGCACGTTGGCCCCTTGGGCCAGGCCACGGACCACCCGCTCCCTCCACGCAGATGGTCCCTGAGGAAGCCAAGTCAGCCTTGGTCGAGACCAAGAGCCTCTTTTCAGGGGTGGGGGTGGGGGGCCAGGGCTCCCCTGGAGAAGGAGCCGGTGGCGGGCGGACCCAGTTGGGTGCCCCAGTGGCCGCAGGTGCCCCAGCGGCCCCGGGGGTGATGCTGGCCTGAGGAGCCCACTGAGGTTCCTGGGCCCTCCAGGGGCATCCTGGCACTGCAGCAGCTTCACTCTGCTCCCCCAGGACCCTACAGCCCTGCTCCCGGCCGGCCAGCCCGGAGCCTGAGCCCCTGCCCGAGGCGGATGCCAAGAAGCCCCCCTCCCCTGCACGGGCAGCAGAAGCCGACAAGGAGCCCCAGCGCCTGCTGGTGCCCGACATCCAGGAAATCCGCGTCAGGTGTGTGGGGGCTCCGCCCAGCCGGCTCCTGAGGTCCCCAGCTCTGCTTCTGCAGGGACGGCAGCCGCCCCGACCTGGGCAGTGCTGGGGGCCAGGAGACCACCCCCTGACCTGGGTCAGTGCAGGAGGTCAGGAGACCACCGCCCCCAGACCTGGGGCAGTGCTGGGGGTTGGGAGACTGCCCCCTGACCAGGGGCAGTTCTGGGGGTCAGGACACTGCCCCCCTGACCTGAGACAGTGCTGGGGGCCAGCAGACCACCCCTCGATGTGGGGCAGGGGCAGCTCTGTGCTGTAGTCAGAAGACCAAGCCCCCCCTGCCAGACGTAGGGCAGGGGTGGAAAACGAGCTGAGGTGGAGGACAGGAGAGTGGCCCAGAGCCTGGACCGGGGCAGGGCCCGGTGGGAGGCTGCGGGGGGGAGGTGGGAGCCTGGAGGGAGGCTGCGGGGGGAGGGGGGAGCCTGGAGGGAGGCTGCGGGGGGCCGGGTGGAGGCCGTGGAGAGGTAGTTTTGACGTGTTGCCACCCTGCAGCCCCATCGTCTCCAAGAAGGGCTACCTGCACTTCCTGGAGCCGCACACGGCCGGCTGGGCCAAGCGCTTCGTGGTGGTGCGGCGGCCCTATGCCTACATGTACAACAGTGACAAGGACGCCGTGGAGCGGTTCGTGCTCAACCTGTCCACTGCCCAGGTGGAGTACAGTGAGGACCAGCAGGCCATGCTGAAGGTGCGCCACGCCACGGGCTGGCGGGGAGGGTGGGAGCCGGGCCCAGTCCCCCGCAGGCCGCGTCCCCTCACCGCATTGCCTAAGCAATGTGACTGGACGTCAAGGTGGGGGTGTGGGGCTCAGCCTCTCGTGTTCTGGGGCCACTCTGCCCACCTGTGGGGCGCGCCGTCCTGGTGATGACCAGCAGTGAGGGGTGGGGCGAGCATGGATCCCAAGGATGCCCCGTTTGATGGCTCATGACACAGTCCCTCCTCCAGCGATACGCACAGAGGGTGCCAGGAGCCCTGCAGGCCAGCGGGGCGCTGGGCCCAGAAGTGCAGCCTCCTGCCCCCAGCTTTGCCCCTGACCCTCCCGCGGATCTCCTCCTCTGCCCCTTCTCCGACACCCCCACCCCGACCCCCGAGGAGCGGTGGCCGCCCTGGGCTGAGCGCGGGGGGCCTGGCGCCCCTCACGGCGGCCCCCTCTGCAGACCCCCAACACGTTCGCGGTGTGCACGGAGCACCGGGGCATCTTGCTGCAGGCCAGCAGCGACAAGGACATGCACGACTGGCTGTACGCCTTCAACCCCCTGCTGGCTGGGACGATACGGTACGTCCGCCTGTGGAGGGCTGCGACGGGTGCCTGGGGCCCGCCCTGCGTGTGGGTCCCTGAGGCCTCCAGAGCCCACGGTCGGCCGGCGGGAGGGCACCTCTATGTCGGGACCACCAGGCCCTGGGTGGACGAGCCTCGCCCCTGGCGGGGGACCTTTTAAAGGAGGCTGTGGGGCCGGGGGGCTGCTCCCACCGAGTCCCAGAGGCAGGAGGCAGAGGGTATGTCTCCCGGGCAGTGATGCCCCTCATGCCAGCCTGCAGGCGCGCACGGCCCTCTGACCGCCGCTCCTGTCGGCCCCACAGGTCCAAGCTGTCCAGGAGGAGGTCTGCCCAGATGCGGGTCTGAGCCCAGCCTCCCGCAGGCCCGGCCCCGCATCCCGTCATCGTCATCGTCTGTGTCAGCGCCGCCCAGCCCCGCCCGCCTCCTGGGATGCCCGCCCCGCCGGGGACCTGCCACACGACCTGTCCCAGCAGAGGCCGCACGTGTCGTCCTTTCTTTCTGCAGGAGGCGCCCCGGGTGGGAGGAGCTGGGAGGCGCCAGAAAGGTGGGGGGCAGGAGTCCTGGGGCATCGCCACCGTTCTAATATTTTTTTAAGCATAGACAGACTTATAATTAATATACGCTAGTTAGTGACGTTGAGACAGTTCCCTCAGACATTAACGATAAGACTGTGTTCTATTTATAAGTATTTATTTCTAATGCCTTCACGTAGACCTGTAGGATTCAGATGGACCCCCCCCTTGTTCCCACACACACCTCCCAAGCCTCTTGGGGACAGACGTGTCGGGGCGGCTCCCCGGGAGCCACGGGGACGTGGAGCTGGATGGACGGCCCCGGGGATGCACTGCCCCGGCCGCAGCTGAGGCCTGTCCCCACGCACGCGGGGCTGGCCTGGTCCTCGGGCCTGTGTGTGTGTGCGTACGTGTGTGCGTGTGTGTCGGGGGTGTGCTGCTTGAAGGCCGAGCAGCACAGGTGTGTCCTTCCAGCAGGAATAGGATGCGTGTCTCACCTGGACGGCAGCCCCTGAGCCGTGAAAATCGGGGGACACTTGCAGCACGTCCCTGGGAGTGGGTGGGGGGGCCCAGCCGCCCGGTCTGGGGTGAGAGGGTCAGGGTGGTGCTCGGTGTCCGGGCCGGCCGGGGGCGGGGCTCGGTCTATGAGAGGCTGTGGGCAGCGTGAGCCCCAGGTCGCCGCAGAGGGGAAGCCGTGGGCCCCTCTCTTGCCAGGAGAGGAGTGTTCGGGGGTCCCGGGGGAGACTCTGACGGCCGGTGCGGGTGGCCAGTGCCAGCGCTGGGTCGTCCGTCTTCCAGGAGCCTTTTCTTGTGCCCGAGGGTGTCGCCGTGTCTGGTCCAGCCTCTCATGACGATACCCGTCTCGTCCCCTCTTCAGACTGTGCCCAAGGGTCGCCCGGGCTGAGGGTCTGGTCGGGGAACCCACCAGCCCGGGGTCTTTAGGGAGCTGTTCCTCCTCCCAGAGACATGGCTGGCCCCTCTTCAGCTCAGGGGAGAGCAGCCACAGCACAAGCCCCGTCCGCTCCGCGGCGCCTGGAGCAGGTGGCAGAGGTGGAGGGTTTAGACAAGGACCGAACGCCGTCCAGAAACCAGAGGCCCGAGCGCCCCGGGGTCCCTGGAGGCAGAGAGCAGAGAGCAGGCTGACGGCCGCTCCGGAGCCAACACTGAGCCGGCCTCGCGGGCAGGGGGAAGACGCACGGGTGAGCTCTGGGGGTCAGTCCTGAGTGCCCCGCTGCCCTGCGGGGAGACTGGGGCACAGGGCCCGGCCACGGCCCCTCAGGTCAGCCAGCCTGAGGCCGCGGCCTCGCCAGGGTCCGAGGCCCTGTCTGGGGGCAGGGTGCCTGGGGCCAGCCAGCCTGCAGAGCCCCTGCTGCGCGGGGCGGGCTGAGGGACTCGCCCATGTCCGGGGCCCCCATGGCCACGGGGGCCCCACGGCCGCTGCGTCTTGCCATCCCAGCGGGGGCATGGCACCCAGGGTGTCCCTGCCCATCTCCGCCTCCTCCTCGGCCTGGGCCCGAGAGCTCCGTCTGCGCGTCGGGAAAGCCGCTGTCCCGGGCCGGGTGCCATGGGAGCCAGCACAGGGGGTCTGGGACCCCGTCCCGCCGGTGACACGGGGGGCTGGTCTGGAGGCCCCGGGGGTGGGCGCAGACGGGAGGGTCGGGTGAGGGGTCGTGCTGCGTCCCTGAGGGGCGGGAAGGATGCAGGGAGCCACTTCTCTCGAATGGGCTTTGTTTCGGTGCTTGAGGCTGCTCCGGCTGCAGCTGCTGTGAGTTTGGGGGCATCCCCGCGTCCCATCCGGGCAGGGGGGCACTCCTTCTGCGGCGGCCCTGGGCAGAGCCCCGGGCGGGAGAGTCCGGGCCCTGGTGACTGGGCTGGGGGCCAGGGGCGGGTGTTGAGAGACTTGTCAGTTTCAAGGCCTCTGTGCTCGGAGTGACTGTTCTTAAAATGCCAGCATTTTGTTCTCTGACAGTGCGCGCACGCACTCACACGCACACGCACATGCACACACATGCAGCAGGCTGACTGCGGTGATCTCCCGTCAGTCCTGGACCCCCTCAGTGCCCCTGGGCGGATGAGGCAAGACAGCCAAGGAGGGTACCTGAACATCGCTGATGTTACGGCCCGCCTGGGGCTGCCACGCCGGTCCCCGTCAGCTCTCCCCAGAGGCCCCCTCCTCCATCCCCTGGGACAGACGCGAGGCTGCGGCTTCTCCCCAGACCCTGGCCTTCTGCGGCCGGCTGGCCCCCGAGTCCCCCGTAGCTTGTACATATGTGCTTGTGTGGCCCCTGACCGTGACCGCCATCCCGATGTAACGGCTAGTTCCCTGGTGTCCTGAACCCGAGTGTTAGGCTCTCGGCTCCTGTCCCATGTGTGTGCGCTTAAGCTCTGTCCAGTTAAGAAATAAAATGGCTCTTTATGCAACACCAGACCCGCGGGCCCCCGCTCGGCTTTATTTGTGCATTGGTCTGTCTGCTGGGGCCTTAACTAGCCGCAGGGCCAGCTGCCCAGCATGTCTGGAGGTAGCAGGCGCCTCCCAGTGCCAGGCAGAGAGGGGAGAGCGGGCCCTGAGGGGTGGGAGGGGCCGGATGGTGTTTATTGCGGGAGCATCCACCTGCTTCCCTCGGCACGGGCTGCACCGTCTCAGCAGCTCCGGGTGCCCTCGGGTACGCCAGCCCTGCGTACTTCCACCCTCAGCCCAGGCAACTTCAAGTCCTTTCATGCAGTCAGCGTTACCTCATAATCAAACCGGACGAAGACATTCCATTAAACCATAGACCAATGTCCTTCTTCAACACAGAAACAAATCCCCTCGATAACATCTCACTAAGGGCATGGCAACTCACTCCAGTATTCCTGCCTGGAGAACCCCATGGACGGAGGAGCCCTGTGGGCTACAGCCCATGGGGTCACAGAGAGGCCGACACAACCTAAGCCACATAGCACGCAACGCACACTGCATCTCACCAAGTTGAATGTAGGGGTACGCAGAAAGGCCGATGCCCCATGACCTAGGTGGGTTTATCCTGGGAATGCAAGCACGGTTCAAGAGCTGATCATTCTAATTCACTGTATTAAGCTAACGAAGGAGAAATCACATTATCATCTCTATAGACGCAGAAAAAGCATTTGATGAAAATCCAATATCCGTTGCTAATCAAAACTTGAAGTAGAGGATAACTTCCTTAACGTGGTAAAGTGTCTGTAGCTCACTGTCTGTAGCTCACATCGTGTGTGTGTGTGCTCACTCAGTCGTGTCCAACTCTCTGTGACCCCATGGACTGCAGTCCGCCAGGCTCCTCTGTCTGTGCAATTTTCCAGGCAGGACTGGAATGGGTTGCCTTGCCTTCCTCCAGGGGATCTTCCCGATCCAAGGATCGAACCCGTTTCTTATGTCTCCTGCACTGGCAAGCGGGTTCTTTACCACTAGTACCACCTGGGAAGCCCAAGCTAGCATCATACTTAACAGCAAAAGATGAAGACTTAACGCTTAAGACTGGGCACAAGACAAGGATGCCCTCTCTCATCACCCCTATTCAACAAGGTAGTGGAGCTCCTGACCAGGGCAGTAAGGCAAAACGAAGGAGAAGGTGCACAGATCAGAACAGAAGAATGGCGCAAAAGGCAGTAAGTTCTGAAGGAATATCCCAAAAATCCACTATAATTAATACATGAGTTAACCAAGGCTGCAGAGTGCAACGTTAATGTACACTCATTTTATTTATGTTTTATTAAAGTACAGTTGACTATGTTTAAGGTGTACATCAATGTGACTGTTATATATGCATATATATGAATACACACATATACGTATATTCTTTTTCAGATTCTTTTCCATTATATGTTATTACAAGCTACAGAATTACAAACACAAATTTTATTTTTATATGCTAGCAATAAACTGTTGAAACTTTGAATTTAAAAAACAGCACCATTTATACTGGCGGCTTCCCTGGTGGCTCAGATGGTAAAGAATCTGCCTGCAATGCAGATTCCTGGTTTGGGAAGATCCCCTGAAGAAGGAAATGGCTACACTCTCCAGTGTTCTTGCCTGGAGAATCCCATGGACAGAGGAGCCTGGCGGGCTACAGTTCATGTGGTCACAAAGAATCAGACACAACTGAGCCAGTAAGCACACATTTATAAGAGCAGCAGAAATGTGAACTACATATGTATGAATCCTAACAAAATATATGCAAAATCAATATGCCGAAAGCTATAAAACACTGATGAGATACATCAAAGACCTAAGTGAAGTGAAGAGTTATATTCACAATTAGAAGAGTCAATATTCATTAAGATGTCATCGCTCCCCAAATTGACTTTTAAATTCAACATGATCTCAATCAAAATTCCTGTAGATATCAACCACCTGATTCTAAAATTTATGTGAAAAGTAAAGGCACTAGAATAGCTAGAACAAATTTGGCACACAAAAATAAAAGCTAGAAAAGTCACAACACCCATTTTGACCTATGAGTCTACGGGGACTGGGAGAGTGTGGTATTGTTTTAATTGGAGTTCAGTTTCTTTACATGCTGTGTTCGTCTCTGCTGTACAGCAGAGTGAGTCAGCCACATGCACACGTATTCCCGCCCTCTCGGGCCGCCCTCCACCCCACGCCCAGCCTCCCATCCTCCTGGGGCGTCGCCGAGCACCGAGCTGAGCTCCTGGAGCTGCCCTGCAGCACCCCGCTAGCGTCTGTTTTACACCCGGATCCCACACTCCACTCCCCCCACGTCCACACATCTGTCCTCTGCGTCTGCATCTGTATTCTTGACCTGCAAAAATGTTATTTGTACCATTTTTATAGATTCCAGGTCAGTGTGGTATTGG